GCTGTCCGGGGCTCGGCCGGAGGGCACATCCACCCCGGTCCTGCGTGGGCACCCGGGTCCGGATAACGGGAACAGAGAGCACAGCTGCTCGCTTGCGGAACTCCCCACACAGACACCGCTCCGTGCTGCCGGCACCCGCGGAGAACGAGAGGAGGGAGAAGAGGCGCTGGGCGCACTCCGTTCCTCTCTGCACCCCGTCCCTCTGCCCCGTTCCGGCGGCAACACCCGCCGTCACGCCCCGCGCGGAGGCCCCGCTCCCTGCCCCGGCCCGGGTCCCGCACCTCCCGCTTCCCGGCACCGCCGGGCACGAGTGCGCAGGGAAGTCCCGCGGGATGCGGGGACCGGCAGGGAAACGGCTCATTTCTCCGGTCCCCGCAGGACCCCTCGGCGTGGGGCTGCCCGGAGCTTGTTGATTTAGCGGGTGAATAAGCGATGCTAACAAATTATAAGAACAAGAAATTAATAGTGATACATTTTCATCCCCGATCTTTCCATTTAATACGCGGGGGGAAAAGGCAAACGCACCCGCCGACTCCCGTCGAAATGTGGAGATTTCTCCCTACGGTAACCGGCCCGCCTCAAACCCGGTGGGCTTCTGAATTAGGGGAAAGGAAAGCTTTGGGAACAGTGTAGCCCCCCTGCCTCTGGCTTGTACAGAGGCTGTTCCTGTCTGCGGTCGCATTTCTCCCTGAAATCTACGGAAGTTTTGTCGAGATGCTGTTGATGACTGAGCCTAGAAATCAATGTACGTGCACGAATAAATGCTGAAAAATACAGAACGAACGAAAACGAATGCGAGTAAAAACTCAGTCTCACAACGATTTAGGAAGGATTTCCCAATGTCCTTCCCCTGAAAGCCATAATAGGTTATGGGTTTTTTGTTCTGTTTTGAAGGGACTGGTAATTTAAAGCCCTTTCGGCAGGATCTGCCTCCCGGGCAGGGGCAGCTCTCCCCGCTGAGAAGCAGCCAGGCTCCTTGGGGGGTTTGGTTCAGCCTCAGCGCCAGGGATTCCCGCTGCCCAGGGGCTGAACCCTAGGGCTCCGAGCCGCAGGGATGCAAAGGGTTAACAGCTCCTGAATGCACACCAAGCCCAAAGCTACTGGGAAAGAATATCCAAAAAAATAACCAGTTTTTTTTGTGTGTGTTTTTTTTTTTTTTTTTCCAGCCGCTGGACCTTATTGAATGTCATTGAAGAAAGTTTTGAATGCCAGATAAAGAGAGGCGAATTAAAGTGTGTGACAGCAGAGGATAAGCAAACACAAAGAGAACTCTGTCACACTTTGGGCAAAATCCGTGGGCTTTTTACCAAGCCTCTTCGCTATGATTGAATTAAGTAATAGGAAAACATTTTCTTTCAGTTTAGAGCCATTAGACAAAAACTTCAAAGCGAATAACACTTTTTAATGTGAAGCTCAACAATGGAATCTGTTCTGTGCTGAAATGTTTAAATGGTTTGTTGTGCAACTGTGGGCTGAGCTAACCCAGACTGCAGCAGAACAGCATCCTTCAGGCCGTCTCAGGAGCGCTTGAAGCTAGCACAGACCTTTCATCCCAGGGCTTTAAACTGCCCTCCCGTGCCTTTTTTTCCGCTTCCTCTCCCCGAATTCCCCAATTTTTGAAACATTTATTTTTATTTTTAACAGAGGGATTCGCCTCGTGTGTTTGCCCGCTCGCAGCCACCGCCGCTGAACGCGAACGGCACCGGGAGCGGGGACAGGGACAGGACGGTGGCGGCCGCGGGACGCGCTGCAGGAGGCTCGGGGGGACGCGGGGGCCAAAGCCCCTCCCGGGGCTCCCCTGGGCTGCCCCGGCCCCGCGGGGGGTCCTGCCGGGACGGGGTCCTCGGTGCCTCCGGCGCTCGGACGGAGAGAAACGCCTGGAGGTCAATGCAACCCCCGCGTCCGGGTCCCTGCACTGGCTGTCAGGCTCCGCGGAGAAGGGGAAGGGGAGACGTTAGGGTGCGCATCAGCTGGGGGGACCCTCAGCGAGGGGGGTGTCAGGTACCGTTGCCAGGGATAAAAGGGAGAGAGGGCAAAAGAGGTAGCAGGGGCTGAGGCGTCTTCCCCCTGCGGGCTGGGGGGCTGTGCCACCGCCCCCTGCCCAGGGGAGAAGGTGCGGAGGTGTCACACTGCCACTGCCTGGGGACAGCAGTACGGACACTGTCTGGGGAGAGGTCCTTCAGCCTTTTCAGGGAGCAGCCCGTCTCCTTTCGGGAGGAGGCCCTCCCTCTCTGGGGCAGCTGCCATTAATAACTGGGGACGGGACGTGACATACACCCCGAGTCCCTAGGGAGAGGACGAAGAGATGCACTAGCTCAGGAGCAGAGGAAGGTGAGGACGGGATCCTCCTGGGGTGGGACAGAATCGCTGTTTCCGAGGACACCACGTCCTCAGTAGCTGAGAAGGGATTTGTGAGTGACTGTAATTAATATTCCCCAGCCTAACCCCAGAAATTATTTTCTAATGGCAAATAAACAAATGTAAATCAAAGCCAATACTGAATCATGAGCCACAGACTGTGTGGTGGGTGGTCCAACAAAGGTGCCTTTTCACACTGAACAAACACACCCCGGATCTAGCCCATAAGGTACCTGTGCATCCCTTTAATTAACTTGTTCACAGAATGAATCTGTTTACTTGTGCAACCAGAAATATATTTTTTAAAACCCACTTGTTTATTAGCAAAATTGATTTTTTGTAGCTGCTGTACTTTCCTCATTAGCCTCTTGCTCCATTGAACAGGACTAACCACATGAACAGATATCCAAAACCTGTTATTTTCAGCTCCTGACTCAAACTATACTCTGTGCAGAATGAGTGTTTCCTCACGGGCTTATCTTGCACACTGACATAACAGTGCCTGTGTGATCAGCCAGCTTTGCAGTGCTTATTTCAACAGCATCTCAGAGGAGAGGCAGAGCAAGCTCCATTCTGCTGATGGACTACCAAGGTGAAGTGATGAAGGCTGATGGCTCTCTGAGACCACCAGAAAACTATGCTTGTGTAGTGCTTGTACCACTCTATGTTTACATGAAGCTCAGGGTCTGAAAGCTGCAGGGTACATTTTGTGCACTGATTTTGGTCAACTGCTGAAAGTCCTTGGCACCCTCAAAGCCAGGGCTCAGGGGAGGGAAGCAGTCAGTGAGACAGTGAGAAGAACACAAGTATTGACCATCTGCAGAAAAAAAATACAACTTTTTATAAACTGTTCAGTGATCTACTTTGCACTGCCAGTGAACAGTCAGCGAAGCAGAAGCAAAACCCAGTCTAAGCACAGGACACATCACGTCAGACCAGAAGCCCATCTACAGCCATAGCTTCTCTGCTGCAGTGGCTGTAGTGGAAATCTAAGGAAGCCTATGGGAAAGGGGCAAGTGAAAGGTGATCCTTTCCTGGTTTACTGCTGGCCTTTGGGGATCTGTAATGCAAGAACTTCCAGAAACATAGATGATCTGTTTGTGTTTAATTACAGTTCACACAAAATAAAGGCAACACCACAACTTGCTTTGTCATGAAGCTACTCTAAATTTTCTTTCAGTTCATCTTATCTGTAATTTCCTTCTGAATTCATCATTGTATAGATTTGGTAGCACTGCCAGCAATGGCCTTTGCCATGCAGCCATGCTACATTTCCATCCTGGTTCATCCAGTTCCATCTAGTTTTGTCACAAACTATCACAGCAAGAATTAATCTATGCCAGTAAAATCTGCACCACAGGAGGGTTAAACCAAAGCTTCTTGTTTCCAGGACCTGTATTTTTTTCCTTTGGTCGCTTTCAACAGCAGATATATAGGGTAGACATTTGCCATTTAGTTTTTCCTCAGGCCTGTTGCTTGCTAACAGGGTGGGTCTGTCAGAGAATCCTAGAGTCACCTTCCAAGAAGACAGTTTGCTACTACGTTTTCCCTCTGTGATTTTGCCTTTCTCTTAAAAAGTGTCAAAGAAGTAGTTGGACATAAATGGTGAAAAAGTAACAGAAAAAGTAACATATGAAATACGCAATTTAAAATAGATTTTTGCTTTTAGAGAAGGACTGCATTTCAAATTGGTGATGACCTTGTAAGACATAGGATACACAGGATGGAGAAGTCCTGGAGAGCAATGAACACAAGGAATTGCAAAAAGGAGATGGATATGAGAAGATATTTTAGTCAAGGAAGCTTCTCAAGATTAAACTCTTTGCTTAGAAGAATATCAGGACTTTAACTTCCTGGTTCCCAACACACAGAAGACATTTCCTAAAGGATTTTGCAATGCTGCTATACAGCCACATGCAGAAACACACCATGAGTGTTGCCAAAGGAGGAGGATGATAAATTGGGCAGGGTGTTCTGCTTTGGATCTGTCCTGGTTTGAGCTCAAACCAGGACAGGATCAATGGTTGGTAGGTTGTGCACAGTGAGTGGTAGTGGTTGTGAGAAAGGAAGGAGGTTTGCCTGCCTGCTGCAGGGCTTACTGGGCATTGCTGGTGGTGTAGAGACAGAGCCTGAAAGTTGCAGATGGGAACTATGTAGCTTGGTTCCTTCTTTGATGTTGGAGAATGCATGTTCCTTAAATGTTTATCACACTTGAATGTGAAATTATCATCGTAGATGTTTACTCAGCTTGTGTAAAGCAGACTTCACCAAGGTGTGTTAATTCACTTAGCTTGCCAGTCCTGGCACCAGACTGAGAAGAGGAACACTGAACAGACAAGACAGTGCTCTTTTTATTACATTTTGAAGCCTCAAGCAACTCTTTTGAATACAGTGGAATATGCAGAACATGTAGGGATACATGTGCTTGTGTTTGCATATATGGGTATGGACTTGTGTATTGTATTATTAAGTATATCTATCAGTATATCAAATGTATAGGATGGAAGTGTACAGCCATACACCACCATATTGTAGCAATTTATTATTAAAAATGTCCTGGAAGCTGAGTACAGGCAGAGCACAAAAAAACCAGCAGAATATTTTTTAGAAACTCAAAACCGATAGTGATATCCAAGCCAGTGTATGACCAATGTATGATAGCACTGCACTAGTGTGTTTCACATGCAAGCAGAGCCTGCCAATCTCATTTTTCCACTTCTTGTAAATATAATGGCCCAACACAACAAAATTTGGATTTGTAGGCCTAATAACCTGTCCTGGGTTACTAAAAGACCCTGGGAGTCTCCTACTAGATATGTGAACTTCACAAAGCTGACTGACTCATGCTTCATGCCCTTTTTGCTGCTAGATCTTCAGCTTTGACACTTGGAGCATGGTGACAAAGAGTCTGCTCTCCTGTGGCCCTGTGTGCCTGGTGTACAGAATCACAGCTGAGCTACTGCTGGGGATGTGGGCAAGCAAGGAGGCTCAAAGTTTCCCATG